ATGAAGAGATGGAGTGGTGGGGGATCATGGATTCCCACCATAAATAAGGTTTGACTGAAGAGAGTGTCGCCGATGGAGGAAGCAGGTATATTAAACGAGTCGGCAGATCTGTCGTCTAGATGACGCCGGTATGAGGCGATAGTCGCCGATAGCTTCTCCAAGGCCCTTGATCTTAATTAATATGCATGGCGTGCGAGGGCTCCATTTCCGACCGCCTTCCTTTACTTTGTCTGTATGCAGCCCCGAATGCCGAGACTGATACCGGAGATACGAGGCAGCATCCTTGTTTTCGACTGTCATATCCCTTGAGACGGCCTCGGGTAAAGGGAATGGGGAGTTTCATTTTATTTTTTCGCGTGATGGATCGCTATCAGAAAGACAAGACAAACGGTATCTTGCAATGTTGCTGCACGGATCATCATAACATGGTTGTCAAATTTCTTTTAGCTTTCGACATTTCTATGTATAAATGATCGACGAAAGTCATGAATGATGGCGTCCGTATCGAAATTACGTACCCGTACCCCAAACTCAGTCTTTGCTTGGCAGTACCTCGGTGAGAGAAAACGGTTGGGCCAGGTCTGTGGAACTGGATGGCTGGAAGTGCAGGCTGAGATTCCAACAAATGATCTCTGCAATGTCTGTCGCCTTCTCACCCCGTCCTGATTCCTGAGAAACTGAGTCGCGGATCGCTGCAGAGGAATGAGAGCAGCATACCTAAAATTACTAGTGAAAATGAGGGTACTAGAGTGCATTAGTGCGTCGGCTTTGCTGCCAAACTCGGGAAGGGCCGAAGGGTGATGGTGACGGAGGCGACAATCTGCCACGTGAAACCACTAGGGGTCCAGACCCCAGCATAGGAGCGAGGAGGCCACCGCTTTCCCCCAACAAAATGATCCTGGCGCCCGCTCCAGCAGTTCGATGCTCCAGACTTGTGGTTGGTGGGTTTGCCTCGGTGTTTCAGCGGGTGAGCGTTGGAGCTTGGAAACTCTGTAGGCGAGAGCTAAGCCAAATTCGGCGCATTTATCTGGACACTGGGCAGTCTTGCGCACGGATTTCTCGCTGTGAATCGTGACTGCGTGTCAAGTCCCGATTCCGAACCCCTGGCTGCCTGGATCCCCACGAACCCACCGGAGCGAGCTCCAGCTCCGTCGACAGCCGCGCGACCTCCGTCACCTCCCCGAAGCCTGACCTGGCAGCCTCACAATCACAGCCAATATAGCGATCGACCATCGTGGCTGGTGGGGAGTTTGTATGTATCCAACTCGGCTGCTTCGCGTTGAGACCTCGGATATTGCACTTATCATGAAGCTCTTCTGATCACCGATCCCTACCTTACCCTCCATTATACCACTCCGGAGTATACTTGCCCAAACGGTCAAAGACAAAGCAAAGTTGCACGATCACCACGCAATAATAATGTGCACCGTAATACGGAACTCGTAATGTGCCGCGCCCAGACTCGAGCTGCTGTGCCACAAGTCAACCTGCGCTGCAGGATAGTGTGGTGATCCGCCGCATAACAGCCTCCGACCGTGGCTCCATGTGTTTGTCGGTTGAGTCTTGGTTGAGTCTGGTGTAAGTGTGTAACATCGCTTCCAGCTGAGAGCCGATATTGATTCTGAAACCGAAAAATGTGATTGGACATGCAGGGGGAAAAGGGGGCGGGAAACGTCGATCCCGTGTAATACGCTTGCGCGTGGCAGGAGACGCCTTGATCTCCTCATCACGCGTGGCTGCACAGGCTTGGCTTTGTCTCCTGATCAACTCCTGAAACCTGAAACATCGACCGGGTTCACTTTCCTTCGGCTTCTTGTTATTGATCGACGCCTATCATATGGATCTTACCGCAAGCCTATTCTGCATCTCGATGCAGACTGGACAGTGGGCGACAGCAGCCGACATGGTTTCTCACACTGTGCGAAGGCTTGGGTCGTGCGAGGCTTATCCTTTTGGGGCTTTTCCAAGCGAGGCCTTTTGAGATTCGATCTCATGATCGATCTGGTAGTCTACTAATGTTGATGCTTTCTTTTCTTTTCTTTTCCTTTTTTTATTAGACTCTCCCGCAATCCCCCTAAGTCATAACCATGACTCGTCCTTGTAATTCAGCGGGTAAGGCAGGCTCCCCGTTGAGGAAGCAGCGCCGTGGAATAGACCGGGCCCGTTGCGCTATTCGACTGACGGCAACTATAGTTTCATTGTCGATAGTATCGGAGGCAAGCTCCTAGTGACGCCTGATTATCTGCTCCGGAGCCTTCACTAGTCCGCATTTAGTCGAGCCCGCGAAGGTTGGAGAAGGGGAGGAGAGGGCGAGATGATGAGCGCCCACTAGGCGAGTTGCAGTAGTTCATCCGAGCACAACCGAGCACAAAACCGAGCACTCAAATCGGCGGTCAAAGCTGAACGTTTTGAAGGCGTTGGAATGATCGTCGTGCATCACAATCGAGTTCGACTGCTGAATCTTGGGAATCCCTTTTTGGTTTAGTTGGAGATATTGGAGCGCTACTGGTGCCACCGGCTGATTACCTGCTGATGCCTTTCTGGAGGATGAAGTTCACCTCTGGTTCACAAAGGTATACTTTTTCTTGCGGTCCGAATCCCTTGATTCCTCTCCCTTTGCTTTTTATGAAGATATGCCGAATTTCTGAGGCATGCTTTGGGTCCGTGAGAGGATCCCATATCCAATATTTTGACGTCAACAGCTCCAGGCTTCGACTCCCGCTTCCCTTTTCGGTCGGAAAAGCGCCAAAGCGGAAATATTAATAGTACCAGTAATCTTAATTAAGTTGTCAGAGCGAAGAAGCGAAATCTGGCACGAAGATCTCGAGCCTGAGCATCACCCAGAGACCATTCTGCTTGTTCCGTGGCTCGACTGCTTGGGATGGCGACGGCCCATGAGGAAGATCTGGTACAGGCCTCGTGTCTCGGTACCTAACTTGGAGCTCCAAGGGGCCACTCTGTTTGTCCGCCGGGAGAGGAAACTGGAAACGCGTACGCAATTGGCCTGAACTTGGTACGCTTTGAACGGTTCGGTTCGTTGCATTTTATGAAACGAAGTGCCTGGTTTCGAGCGATCACCGCGATCCGTGATGGTGATCATCATCCTCGAGAGTCGAGATTCACCGTCGCATCGGTTCCAATCGCAGGTCGAAAAAGGAACTGGAACTTGTACTCATGCTCGTGGATCGCCCGACTCCCGAACAACATCTGATATTGGAACAATATTATTGGTGGACACGAGAATACACCTGTCCAACAGACAGCGCCTGTGATGATTGCTGTTGGTATATTTCTTTTTCATTGCACAGGAAAATTGCAGCCCTCCGATCGTATTACTATCGTATCTCGCTCCATCGAGCATCCTGTGCGAATGAAAGGAATGATCTGTGTAAGCTTGCCGGTCATCTTGACCATTGTGCGACCTCGCTTCTGCCTCGAGTTCCTTCAGGCGGGTTGTATGATTGGCGCAGCACTCTTGTGTGACTCTGGACCAAGGAATTGGGTTCTCGAATCCATGACTGCTGACTGCACTGCGCCTTGCGCAATTTCCCACGGTTTCTGGACCTCCCCGGCCCTCTCAGTCCACTCTGGACGCGAAAGCATTTTTATGGTCGGATTCTGGAGACGGCTGATTTGCAGGCCTTATGCACGGAGGAGGCTAAATCTTTGGTGTTCTCCCCGAAACCTCATCACTTACTATCGAGTCGGACAGACGGCAGAAGAACAACTCCAGAATTATTGTTTTGAAGCCGATCAGCCAATTAGATAAAAATAGTACGAGGACCTGAAGCTACTGGGGCTAACGTTTTCTTGCCTGAAAGTGCGGCCAGGAGAATAAGTGATAATAATTATAGCGACATTCATGCAGCTGATGCAGACAAGGCGAAGCTGATGCCTCCTGATGATTGGGCCGTAAGCTTCGCTTGCACGAGATCGTTTATTAAGGTTTGGGATGTTGAGTGCGAGGATCGGGGGTAACCCTTTCCTTTGCTTTTGCCTTCCTAAAGTACGAGTGCGGTTCCCTCGGATCAGCTTGTATCCATCAAGACCAAGGATCACGGTAGGAAGATTATTATCTCGAGGAGAAGAAACCTACGGAATGTACTCCGGGAACTGAGGATCACTGGGATTCCCATGATTCACAGCTAGCGTTTTAGGGAGGAAGCCGACCCAACAGCCAGCGCAACGGATGTCTCCCGTGATGACTGGCGGTGTTGGATGATGGGCGACTGAAGATTCAGGAAGGAACGCCGTCTCAGTCGCTTGGCCGGTTCAAGGCGGAAGCTGACGATCATGGTCAGAACAATCCACGGAAATGAATTACGCAAAACAGAAGCGACCGAAGAACAGGCACTGGGACAGGCTACCATTGACCATCCAGGGTGAAACAGTGACCACTCCCATGTCTTGGATGGAATGCTCTCGGGATATGCGTTTATGTTTGATGATTCGGTTTTCGGGCTGATGATCTCCCATTAGTCTGGTCAGTGATGGTAAGTCTGGTGCAGTCTTGCTCGTCTCCATCGCCACTTTCGTCGACGCTTGGTTCTCCGCCGAGGCTCAGGACATGTGGATAAGAAACTCGGGTAGAGCCAAGCCTTGAACCAGGGATGATGCCAGTTGGGCCCTCTCCCACAAGTGGACAGGGAGGAACCTGTGGAAATCAGCGCAAGGCCTGGAGTGCGCAAAATGTCGTATGAACGCTTGTGGTGAAGTCGATCCCAATGGACGTTGTAGTATTGAAGGGTCATCGATCTTGGTGATCAATTAGCCGAAGCCAAGGTAATAACCAGAGGAATAAGAGAATCTCTTTGATATTGCCTGTCAGCTTCCAAGGCCTCCTCCAGAGTCCAGGTTTCCCCATTTCCAGATAGGCAACGTCATAGTGAGGGAGCCCTGGAAGCGAAAAATCATACGGATGTGAGGCCTTGGCCATAGGAGCAGTCGACGCTAACTTAATCTGGTCCTTGGTCCGGCGAGGAACCTCCTTTATTTTCTGATTATCGTTTCCACTCGATGATAATCTCCGGTTCGCTCACGAAGGCTGCAGGCTGGTCGCGAAGTGACTTGGCCCCCAAGCGAAGGATGCAGCGGATGGAAATCGTTCCCAGATTCCCTTCCTGGTGGCCTCGCCAAGCCTGGCCCGAGCCCAAGCCGGAGCTGCCACCGGGCTCCAGAGGCTTGGTTGATGATGATGGGAACGGAGGCACTTCCATTCCAAGAACAGTCTTCCCCCCTTGTTTGTCTTGATCGCCCAAGGACGATGATACGACGCGTCGATCATGGATAAGCAGCGAGACTGAGGGCAATAGGGTAGGAACGAGGGAACGACGACCAAAATTGCTGAGTTTGACGCCAAAGTGAGGTTGCATACGAACACCAGCAGGCCACACGGCACCCACGGTCACTGGCCACCCAGCCACGAAACACAAGGACGATCGGCGGGCGGTCTTTTACGAGACGAGATCAGGTTCTCAGCAAAGACATGATCGTGCGGCAACGATCAGCCGTTAACGGGGCATGGGATCGTTGTGACAGGTAAGACCAGAAACGGAGCGAGTCCACCCACCGATCATCGCTCACGGCGCCGCCTGTCGAGACCCATTAATAATTGTACGTAGTCCTCTGTCGCGGCCTTGCAAGGTTGCCACGGCTCGAACCTGGCCTCCTGCCGGGCAGATCTGCACGAGGAGATTGTGTTGGATTCTTTGGACCTTTTGACGGAATTCGTCGTTAATGAAGGAATTCTAATTCCTGAAGGATGCTGATTGCTGATTGCTGATTGCTGTTGTTGAGGGCGAGGCGAGCGACTGCCTGAGGAATCGATCCCATTCTCGCGTGTCAAGGGGCGTAATCTATTACTAGCGCGGACGCAACCCAGGCTCCACCGCGCCTCGATTAAGCTTTGGACCGAGTCTCAGTTGGCGGCGTACTGTGCTTACGGTACGGTCATCGTCTAAGAGCTCCGAATCGGCTCTCTCCACAGCCCACCTCCCCGAGTCATTTCCACGACGGCGGCCCATCAGCCTGCGCAAATCAGCCTTGGGGCGATCCTCCTGCTGCATTTTATTTTATTTCTATTTTCAGGCTTTTATTTTATTTTTTTTCTGAATTCTTTCATTTGCTCCCCACCTCATCTCGCGGCCCAGGTCTATAAACCTCGTTGTTCTCCCCCCCTGTTCCTTCTCCCCACTCCATACATCTGGGTGCGTCTGGATAGCGTCGGCTCCATCTTATATTATATCTCTGACCTTGTTCCCTCGTCGCCACGTTTTCTGCTACTTTAACCCGTCCAGCCCGTCCACTTCCCGGCCTCCTCCATCATTACTACCCATTGCCTCCCGACACCATGGATCTCGCCAGCCTCATCTCCCAGCCGGGTTCCGAGCCCGCCATGACTGTCAAGTCTCGATATAGCCCTCCTGCCTTTGAACCTGGCTCCTTCTACCCTTCAGCTTCGGCTTTCCGCTCGCAGGCGCCGCTGTCTCCTCCAGTTGAGGACAAGGCACCTCGCTGTTCGCTGCCTTCTATCTCTTCGCTTCTTGATAGTGCTGATGGCGCATCAACACATGCAGCAAGTAAGGCCTCCAAAGCTGCTCCCCTGCGTCAGCGTCCTAACTGATCACTAACACATCAAGCAGAGCGCCAACGGTTGAGCTCCCCTTCACAGCGCGAGCTGGATGCGCGCCCTGCATTCGAAAAGACACAGTCTGGCGCCGCTCCAGTCCGCTTGCCTCCCACTCCGCCATTGCGCCCTGGCTCTGGCTTCCACAGCACTACCCACTCGCCTTCCAGCTCAATCTCATCCGCAACGAACCAGATGGTCAAGACCGAGTACCCTCAACCACCAGTGACACTGGCCAGCCCCAACGAGAGGTCATCCATTTCAAGCCAGGGCTCCGCGCCTCACCACCACGCTCCGGGCCCCTACGCCTCTCCAGCTCCAAGCGTTCCTTCCTACTCATCTCCCGTTGAGCCATCACCATCAAACATGTACTACCAGCGTCCGGCCTCCGGCACATATCAAGGCGCTCCTCCCCCGCCACCACCTTCATCACACCACCAGCCAATGATCTCTCCAGTAACACCGGCCTGGCAGCACCACCACTACTTCCCGCCATCAACCAACACACCTTACCAGCAGAATCATGACCGATATATCTGCCGCACATGTCACAAGGCCTTCTCACGACCCTCCAGCCTGCGCATTCACTCTCACAGCCATACCGGCGAGAAGCCTTTCCGCTGTACACATGCCGGGTGCGGGAAAGCCTTCAGCGTGCGAAGCAATATGAAGCGGCACGAGCGCGGCTGCCACACTGGCCGCGCAGTCGCTACTGCAATGGTCTGAAGAAACAAGAACTAGAACAAATAAGCGAAAACAAAACAAAACAAAAAAAAGCAACGCATCCATCGAAACCTATCTGGCGGGCGAGATGTCACACTCGCAATCTAAAGAAAACAGCACCGCTTCATCATCTCAACCTACAATAATTTCCTCTTGACTTGTTTATCTCATTTCATGATACCCTCTCATATTCTGTTCATTTTACCGATGTTCATGTTCTGCACCGGTGTCAGGTGTCACGGGGATACGGATACGGCGTGGATTTGGATTCAGCTTCGGATTCGTTTGGGGAACATACACATCCAGTTCCAAATCTATTTACATTGCATTTCTTCTTCTACCATTACTTCTCTTCTATTCCTGTATACTTTCACACATTCAACTTCATAAAACCCGGGTCAACATCTCATGTCAGGCCGGGGAAGGATGTTTAAATGTTTATTGCATAATATGCATGGCATGCATACCAGAGAAGCAATGGAAGGCGAACCAAAAAGCTAGATTAGGCTAGGGTGCTGGGCTCCCCAGCCCCAGTATGTCTAGCGAGTATGGTAATGTCTTTATTTCTCATTTTGTCATATTTCCTTTGTTTCAATGATGTGACATGAAATGACCCCCTTTTCCTTTCTACCTCAACCTCGGAAGAAGAAATGAATTAAACAAAGATGATCAACTTTACACTTCGGATTGTATCTTGTAGATGATCTGTAAATGATAAACCTGTGTGCCCCTGAGCTGTAGTTGACGGTGTGCCTTGGGCTTATTTACTATGATGAAGATCGTTCAGGAGGAAAGGAAAAGCAGGAGCTCCAAGTCAGCTGGAGGCGCCGGTGTCCTATCTCCATCGCTCTTCACTCCCCACGTCGGTAATATTTGTTCGGCGACCAGGGAAAGGGGTGATTGTCCCGATATTTACGCATAATAGGAAGGAGCGTCGCCATAACAAACTGGACTATCTAAGGATGGAAGGAACGGCCTCCTTGTTAGTGCGCTTGGCCTACAATGGAATGAAGCAGCTGAGTTGATGGCATGATATGCTTGGTACTTATGACTTTGAATTAAACCTTGATCTTACGTAGACATTGATTGTCTGTTCCATAACAATAGCCTCCCTTGTTAACTCCAAACAAAGCCCTTCAGGTATCACAGTGAACTATGGACAAGAACTGAACCTAAATACAATAAGCGACCCCTATATCTATCGCGTATCCGTGAAACACCAAGCTCAAAAGGCATAAATATAGGACTGGAGAGAGAAAAGACTTTAAGCAGCTACAGTTGACCGCGAAGCAGTGTTGTCAATGGCCCTCTCCTTGCCCTTTGACCGCGAAGTAATGGCTCGCATGTTTTTCACAGCCGTACCAAAGTCAATGAGGTTGTGATCCTCGGGCATATGTTCACCGCTGACGATGCATAAAACTCTCATACCGGGTTTATAGACGAGGCCGCTGAGTAGCTTGGGCGTGATAAGGAAGTACTGCCCGCCGCCGCTACCGTCTTCACTCGGGGCGCATGCGATATCGACAAGGCGCTCGTGGACCATGCGTTCGTTCCGCGGGTCCATTCCTTGGTTAATCTCGTCGACGACGCGGAATGGTGATGCGGAGAGAGACTGCAGGGCCATGAGGTAGAATATTGTGCTGACGGCTCGCTCTCCACCGGATTGGCGATGTGAATCCAGAAGAGACAGGCTTTCGTGCTCTCTGAACTTGACGTGCACCTGGACGGACCATTGGTCGAAGTCGTTCCCGCTTGGTTGGCCGTCTGGTCCAAGCTCTTCGCCTGCCTTGTCCAAAGAGACTTGACCAGCGCAACCGATACGTGCGAACGAGTCTGAGAATGCGTCGCTAACGCTCTTGATAATAGCATCTAGTCTTGGCTCCCATTTGCCTCTGATCTCGTTTATTGCGTGGTTGAAGTCCGCAAGCTTGTTTTGGAATTCGGTAAGTTTTCCGCGTAAACGTTCGATTTGCCGTTCGCGCTCTTCAAATTCTTTCACCACATTCGAAGGGCCTCCGTGGGTGAGTTCAAGACGCGCCTTTTCAGAATCGATTTCGGCTTCCAGTTCGGTGACGGTGTGGCTGTCGTATATCTGCTTGCCCATTTCCTCTAGCTCGGGCTTTTCCTTGAGATGCGCCGCAACCTTCCTTGCCTCTTTTCCGACTCTCTTGGTTTCCCCCGCCATTTCCGCAACTTCTTGGCTCTTTTGTTTGACTTCTTCGCCCTTAGCCTGGAGCCTCTCGTTATGGTCGCTGGTGCGGCCTTTGAGGATTTCCAGGTCTGAAATTCCTTCAACCTTCCACATTGTCAACTTGATCACTTCCTCTTCGAGACCACGGAGTGTCTCAACCGCATCCTGTTTGTTATTAGTATCGATTCATTTTCGAACTCGCCAAGTCTCATACCGCATATTCTATGACTGCTTCAGCCTTTTCAATAGATAGTTGATCCTGCTTATTGCGAATATCATGGACCTTGGCCCTGATTCTTGCAAAATAGTCATCGTTTGATTTTTTCTTGGCTTCTTGCTGGCCTGTTGCGTCTTGTTAGCGGGTTGAATATGAATTGAAACGGCATGACTTACGTATTCGTTCTGGAATGGCTCTGAAGTTGGTGTGGGCAGTTTGCTTATCTGCCTTTTCGCGCTCAAGTTCATCCTAAGGTGGAAGTTAGCAAAGTCTACCCGGGCAAGTAGTACAAATATCGCCAACTGACCCTTTCTTTTTGGGCCTTTTCATACTCCCGACCAAGTTCAGTCAATCTTGCTCTCTCAGATTCAATTTCCTCCTGAACGTTTTTGACGTCATCCTTCAACTCTTGAATTCTTGCCTGTAGAGTCCCCTTTGCTGATGCATCAACAGGCTGGGAGGTCCAGACCTTAGCTGGTCGTACTTGTCGTACGCGGGTGGACGAAGCTCCGGGACCGTATTCTCGTCGTCGCACAATTTGGTAGGCCTGTTTACCCGCCACCCATGATGTAATTGAGCTCTGTTCCAGGGCCGTGTATGTTTGATCAGAGATGTCTCTTAGACTGACTGGTGTCTGGTGCAGCCTATTCTCACTGCACAGTATCGCAAGTACAGGCTCCGGACCGTTGAGAAAGTCCTTTGCCCAGCCTTGAAAGCCCATATTTCTCAGCTCATCGTCATGCAATGGAGCTTGAAGATTGACGAGAGGAATAGAAGATGTCCTGATACTGATATCATGAAGTTTTAGGTCGCGATTTAAATATCTTTGCAAAGTCTTAAAATCATTCCGACTCTGGACCGTGAAAGCCGTATAGTCTGTTCTCTGCAACAATGCCTCAACATGGTTCGTGTATCTCGGATCCTTGATGGAGCAAGTGACAATCGGAGGACCGAAAACTTCTTTCTCGAATTTGTCTTGGTTGCTCAAAAGCCACTTGTAAGCTTTGTGGGATTCAGGGGATGCTTGCTGGAGCTTCCTCTCTTGTTGGCCAGCTTGCGAGTCAAGGCCTCGCAATTGCTGCTCGGTCTGGTTTAAGAGTCGCGTTGTGTCGGCGAGTTTTTCCTGTAACGGTCGTCGGCGGCCCTTGATCTCGTCTCCTTTCTCTTCGAAATCTCTTAGTTCCCTTCGTTTTTCTCTCTGTTCAAGCAGCAATTAGCAACACGGGTTGAGTATTTATGGTTCCTGTTTCTACACTTACAATCTGGTCGTTGTACCAATTAGGGTCAAATTCGACGGGCTCTTCATTCAATTGTCGGTTGAGCCGATTGATCTCCTGCGTAATCTTGATCCCTTCCTGCCGATAAATTCCAGAGCTCTTTTTCTCTGCTTCGATTTCGGCTTCCATATCTTTCATGGACTGCTCATACTCTTCGACTCTCTTCCCGACGTCTGTAGCCGCTCTTTCTGCAGCCTCAAACTTTCGCTGTTTATGCTTTATCACGTCATCTATTTGCTTACAGTAGCCCTCTTTCTCTTTGACGGATCTCATTACGGGCTCCAATTCCGCTTCAAGTTCTTCGAGTTCGCGCTGACAGGCCCTTCTCTCCTGTTTCGCAGTATCGAACTTCCTATGTAGCTCCTTGTATTGGACGACGGGTCGAACCATTTCCAATACTTCGATCTGTTTCTTGATCTGCGCTCGCTGACGGACCCTTTCGACATCTGCCCGTTGCATTTCTTGTCGATCCTCGAGATTCGAAAGTAGATCTCGGTCAGCCTCGTTGTTCGATTGAAGGCTTTTCTGCTCAGCTCGTAAGCTTTTCAGGTTTTCGTGTAGCTCCACCATTTCCGCACCGGCAGCAGCCCGCTGTGTCGAGTTAAGAAGCTCAATTGGGGTGAGAGCAGCAAATTCGCTAACTTTATCTTGCGGCAGAAACTGACACAAATTGTCGACTTGAATAGCGAACGAATGCGCGAGTCTTAGAACTTCACGCATACCAGATGGCCTTCCATTCAACGTAAACGTGCTTTTGTTGCCCTCTCGTTTGATCGTCCGGCTGATGACAGGATTCCGCTGGTGATTCGGACTACCTGCAAGCTCGATTTCAATTGTCGCCTCTCTGCATCCATGCTTGACAAACTCGCCGATGTCCTTCGCGCGTCCTAGATGCTGCAGTCACAAACAAACCTATTAATGCACAGGTTTTACAATAACGGGGAAAAGAGTACAACATACCTGCGGCCCCCATCCCAGACCAAGACAGATAGCACAAACAAGCGTACTCTTCCCAGTTCCATTTGGTCCAATAACCATATTCAGTTTCGGCCCAGGGAAGAACTCCGCAGAAGTGTAGGTCACGAAATCAGTGACCTTGATACGGACAATAGCACCGGGCTTGTACCCTTCCTGTGAGACCTGATTTTGTATACCGTTCACCCCGCCCCTTGGATGTCTTGCTGGGCCTAGACTCTGGCGCTGGCTATTCGCCTGGGTGGCAGTTGCGGAGTCATCTTCTGCACTATCATTCTCGTCATCCGTTTCAGCCGTAGCGTCAACATCGGAAGCCCCAGATCCAGCAGATTCACTTTCCTCT